ATGTGCATATTTTATACCTTATTTGTGACACTGGCAGGTCAAGAATTGGTGTGGGATCCAGGGGCAGAGCCCCAGGAAGCTCAAGGGTTTTCGGCAATAAATAACGGTCAGATGAGCATATTTTTATACCTTATTTGTGACACTGGCAGGTCACGAATTGGCGTGGGGTCCAGGGGGCAGAGCCCTCGGAAGCTCAGGAGTTTTGGGCAATAAATAACGGTCAGATGACATAATTATGTTTATATCTATTTGTGACACTGGCAGGACACAAATTGGTGTTAGGTCCAGGGGGCGGATCCCCGGAAGCACAGGGTTTTGGGCAATAATAACTGTCAGATGAGCATGATTTTATACCTTATTTGTGACACTGGCAGGTCACGAATTGGCGTGGGGTTCCAGGGGGCGGAGCCCCGGAGGCTCAGGATTTTCGGCATTTAATTACGTCAGATGAACATATTTTGATTCCTTTTTTGTGACACTGGCAGGACACTAATTAGCGTGAGGTCTAGGGGGCCGAGAAGCTCAGGGGTTTTAAGCATTAAATTACCGTCAGATTAGCATCCAGCTTTCCGCTTTAGGGCCCTAGGTGGGGTCCAGGGGGCAGAGCCACAGGAAGTCAAGGGGTTTTAGGCATTTATTTACGGTCAGTTGAGCATATTTTGATACCTTTGATATCTTTCCCCTTCTATTTCCTTCTTTTTTTTTCTTTCTTTTTTTCTCCCTTTTTTTTCCTTTTCTTTTTTTGTCCTCCTTTTTTTTCCCTTCATTTTTTCCCTTCTTTTTTTTTCCTTTTCTTTTTTTGTCCTCCTTTTTTTCCCCTTCTTTTTTTCCCTTTTCCCCCCTTTTCCCCTCCTTTTTTTTTTCTTCTTTTTTTCTTCAGGGGGGGGGGGGGGGGGGGGGGGGCCCCCCGGCACCCCCTGGATCCGCCACTGTGAATAGCTATGTAATAATGATAATGATAACAATAGTTATAATAAACCCAACTTGTTGATAAACTTTTGGATGGAATTAATTGTAAATATAATGACGATATATAACTCAGTAAGTTCAGTGTATGTTATGTATGTATTTTGTCTCATTATATGTCTATGTTTATATCGTATTACTTGTACCAACCAGTCGAATTCGTTTTTCCTGATATGAACAATAAAATAGTACTTAATTAAAAAGGAGTGGTAGACTAAACGTAGACAATAACATGCAATAAGTGCAAGGGTGTCGATTTGAATCCGTGGTTGGGGGGTGGGGGGGGGGGGGGTGATAGGTGCCAAAATATTTTCGGCAATGGATCAAAGCAATCAAGAGGTAGAAGCGTGTGGCAAGTTGCACCCCTCGCAAGCGCGTAGCCAGGATTTCATTTTAGGGGGCGGGAGTGAGCACGTGAAGCGCGGTCCCTATGGGGTTGCGTGCAGGGAGGGGAGGGGGGATTCCCCCCGCGAAGCGCGGAAGCTTTGACGTTTCACTAAATTATTAGAGAAAGAAGACGATTCGTTTGACCGTTCTCGACTCTTAATCCTTGTTTGAATCAAGTCCCCCTTCCTCCGCGCGTAGCGCGGAAGCTCTGACGTTTCATTAGATTATTAAAGACAGAAGACGATTCGATGTACAATTCTTGACTCTTAATCCTTGCTTGAATCAAGTTCCCCTTCTCCGCGCATAGCGTGGAAGCCCTGACGTTACATCAGATTATTAAAGAAAGAAGACGATTCGATGTACCATTCTCGACTCTTAATCTTTAATGTTTGAATCAAGTTCCCCTTCCCCTTCTGACGTTTCATTAGATTATTAAAGAAAGAAGATGATCCTATGTACAATTCTCGTCTCTTAATCCTTGTCTGAATTTCATTTTCACCCATTCCTGCGCGAAGCGCGGAAGCTTTTACATTAGAGAAAGAAGACGATTTGTTGTATCGTGTCCTTCATTAATTCAGTTTCTCCCCTACCGCGCGAAGCGCGGAAGCTTTGACGTTTCACTAAATTATAAGAGAAAGAAGACGATTCGTTGGACCGTTCTCGACTCTTAATCCTTGTTTGAATCAAGTTCCCCTTCCTCCGCGCATAGCGCGGAAGCTCTGACGTTTCATCAGATTATTAAAGAAAGAAGACGATTCGATGTACCATTCTCGACTCTTAATCCTTAATGTTTGAATTAAATTCCCCCTTCCCTGCGCGTAGCGCGGAAGCTCTGACATTTCATTAGATTATTAAAGACAGAAGACGATTCGATGTACCATTCTCAACTCTTAATCCTTGCTTGAATCAAGTTCCCCTTCCTCCGTGCATAGCGCGGAAGCCCTGACGTTACATCAGATTATTAAAGAAAGAAGACGATTCGATGTACCATTCTCGACTCTTAATCCTTAATGTTTGAATCAAGTTCCCCTTCCCCTTCTGACGTTTCATTAGATTATTAAAGAAAGAAGACGATCCTATGTACCATTCTCGTCTCTTAATCCTTATCTGAATTCATTTTCGCCCATTCCTGCGCGAAGCGCGGAAGCTTTCACATTAGAGAAAGAAGACGATTTGTTGTATCGTGTCCTTCATTAATTCAGTTTCTCCCCTACCGCGCCAAGCGCGGAAGCTTTGACGTTTCACTAAATTATAAGAAAAAGAAGACGATTCGTCGGACCGTTCTCGACTCTTAATCCTTGTTTGAATCAAGTTCCCCTTCCTCCGCGCGTAGCGCGGAAGCTCTGACGTTTCATCAGATTATTAAAGAAAGAAGACGATTCGATGTACCATTCTTGACTCTTAATCCTTGTCTGAATTCATTTTCGCCCATTCCTGCGCGAAGCGCGGAAACTTTAACATTAATGAAAGAAGACGATTTGTTTTATCATGTCCTTCATGAACTCAGAAGCTTTAACGTTTCAATAAATTATTACTCTTAATCCTTGTCTGTATTCATTTTCGCCCATTCCGCGCTTAGCGCGGAAGCTTTCACGTTTCATTAAATTATTCGTAAAAGAAGACGCTTCGTTGTATCGTGTACTTTAACGTTTCATTTGATTATTACGCTTAATCCACGTCTGAATTCAGTTGCCCCCTAACAGCTTTGCCCTTTCACTGAATTATTAGAGAAAGAAGACGATTCGTTGTATTGTATTCTATATTAATCCTTGTCTGAATTCAGTTTCCCCACTGAAAATAATTTGTGTTACAAATAAATTGTGACATAATAATCCTTCTCCAAAAATGAAAAATCTTTTAGGAAATATCAGGAAATAGAATGAGTGAAAAAAACAAAAATAAAGATACAATGACGTTAATTTTAAAAAGGGTGAACGGAAACAACATAACAACTAGAGAACTATTTTATAAGTCATACTAATGTCCGAAAATCTTTCTCCTTGTCTCCGATCTCATCACGAAATCGTCACAGAGTTCATCTATGTTTACACTGTCCAGGATTGTCTGATGTGCATTGCAGATTGCTATTTTTGCGCTTCGCGCTTAACATTTAGCTCGTTGCTTTTTGACGCTGCCTCTTTGCATTTGGCGCACTGCATTTCTATGATGCTGTTGATTGAACAAATTTAATAAATTCATCAATTCCTGATGAAGCCGTATGAGCGAGAATTCAATTTATTCTTGTCTCATATACGGTTGTCTTATTTACTTCGTATATATGTATGTATTATGAAAATGAGATAGCAAAATGTGTATATTGATGGTCATCTTGTGATTAATAACCATTAACTACTCTCATCGGGCTCTCATCCTTAATTTTTCTCTTCATTTTTTTTTTTTTTTTTTTTTGATGGTGAATTATTGGGGGGGGGGATGATTGTACAGGCCACCCCCCCCCCCCACCTGAAATATTGGGGGCCGGGGATATAAGTGATTATTGTACAACAAAATACAAAAGAAATGTGAAAGCAATGTGAAAAAATTGATAAAGTGTTAATTTCCTCCCTAATCGCATGAAAGTAAAATTTAGCACATTTTGTCCTCGAGACTAAGAGAATGGAAGAAAATGATATGATATATACAAGTTCAGGCTTGCATGCATATATAATGATAATTGTTCTTTTCTCTGTCATATATTATATTTGATATCATTGTATGGTTTTAATTTTTGCATATTCTAGAGTGTCTTTATTTGTTTCAAAGATATTCTCAATGTATTAATTTAAGCATCGCAGTAAATATTCTACTTCAGCTCTGTAAATAACAGTGGCGGATCCAGGGGGGCCCGGGGGCCCGGGCCCCTCCCCTTGAGAAAAAAATCATGTAAAATCACGTGATTTTTACCTTTTTTGGGGGTTGGGCCCCCCCCCCCTGGCGCTCAAGGGGGGGGGGGTGCAAATTGAATTTTTTTTGAGGATCAAAAAAAAAAAAATGTGCTCACAACCCCCCCCCCCCCCCCCCCCCCCCCCCCCCCCCCCCCCCCCCCCCCCCCCCCCACTGAGCGAATTTTTGGCCGGCGCGTTTTTCAAATTTTCGGTAGCAAAAAAAAAAATTAAAAAAAAAAAATTGTGCTCTGTACCCCCCCTCTGAGCGACTTTTCGGCCGGCGCGATTTTCAAATTTTCGGGAGCAAAAAAAAAAAAAAGTTGGGCCTCCTCCCCTAAGAAATCCTGGATCCGCGCCTGGTAAATAATGTAAATATTCAACATGTTCAATACTGCTTCTCTAAATAATATTGGACCTCATAAGCTCTTGAGCTTTTATGCCCCATCCGGTCAACTTAGTTTTTATTTATTTTTTTTAAATTTATTTCCCCCCTTTTTTTTTTTTTGGTAGTCTACTGCACTTTTTTAATTCTATGTATCAAGTCAAATCAGGGCGAAGAATCGGGTTCCTTCACCCGCTCACGCTTTGTACCGTCCTCGTGCAGTCGATATATTATCATCTGATTTGGGACATAATTTTTACTCAGAGTATACTGTATTGCGACTACATACCCTTTTCCGCAAAAAAATTAGACAAAAGCCAAAGAAGTAAGATAAATAAAAAATAAGAAATGTCTTGATATAGGCTATCCCTCGAATTCTCATCTCAGACGTCGGTCTCGGCAGGTTTATACTACAGTATGTGTGCGTGCTTAGTTGTTTAGCGAGTACGATTCGCCTCTCTTCTTTTTAACAGTCTCTGTCATTTGGTTAATGATCTTTGCAGGTGTGTCTACCGTCCGCGTACAGTACCGTGCCGTAGATCAGAAAACGCCACAAATTCAGCGGGGAAGTAACAAAAACCATGGCATCGTCAAGTACCGGAGAAAAGCCACGGGTTCTAGTGCTCGGAGGTGAGTATAACGTGTGTTGTGAGATCTATTGGATCTATGTGCCGGTAATAAATGTGTTACAAGTGAAAGGAGCGGGTGACAAGCGAAAGAAGATAGCAGAACGTCCTAAAAATAATATCTAACAAGTACCAGTACCGGTAACAGTAACAGTTCTCACGCCCAAAACTCCGGGAGAGTTAACTCCAGGGAGCTCCGACGTCGGAGGTCCCTGGAGTTACGGGAAAGTAGGCCTAGCTTCTTGGGGCCCGTTCTAAGAAACCAACGACAAGACAGTCATAACTTATCCGCCAACTACGGAGATGTCTCTGATCTTCCTAAACCATGTAAACTGTTTCACGAACTGACAAAGACGGAAGAGCTTGCCTTACTAGCCTAGACTCTAGATCTACTAGCTATAGATCTACTAGCTATAGATCTAGGACTCGATAGGATCTCTTGAAATCGATACTATCGTATCGGCGAGTAAAAAGTAGGGAGGCCAATGCCTAAATCTAACTTTTTCGTTACTAATTTGTTTATAATAAAACAAACAATAAAAGAAAGGATTTTCTTTCACTAAGACAACTTACCCATCTGGTGACTCCAGAATTTCCATAAAATAGGAGATATCCAGCTCTTTTGAAGGCATTTCCTTCTACGCCTGGCTGTACGGCCAAACAATAAAAGAAAGGATTTTCTTTCACTAAGACAACTCACCCATCTGCCGACTCCAGAATTTCCATAAAATAGGAGATATCCAGCTCTTTTGAAGGCATTTCCTTCTACGCCTGGCCGTACGTAAGAGCCTGAAACAATCAATTTCATTACGTTGAGAATTAGACAGGCCCGAGGGAATAGGCTTGTCATTGCCCGGACAACAAGTTCAAAGCTTTGCGCAAAAGTGCATTCATCATCACTGGCTAGCCTTGAATCGGTCGCACACACCTACACAGTATAGTACTACAGGCCAGGTACGGTAATTGCATGCAAGCCGCAATCCTGAAATCGAGCTGCTAGCCATGGCATGGAGGGTCAAAACATAGAGAGAAAGCTCACTCATTGCAAACATCAAAATTAAAATAAAAGTAAAGTAAAAATAAATAAATAGGCCTACCTTAGTTTTGAGATGTATTCCAATTACTATTTCCTCATGAGTAAAGATCAATCTGACACTGCATTATCAACGATCGCGATCGATCAATACAACTTGCAGCGAACACAATACGGACTGCATGCATAGACGTGTACTGACAGAGATATTTCTCTCCCTCTCTCTGACTCTCTCTCTCTCACTAACCATATCATACACTAAAACACACACCTTCAAATCATGGCATTCATACCACTTCTCAATTGAAAGATAGACTGCTCACGTAGACTTTTTTTTTTTACTGAAATGTCTTTTTTAACACTTCTCATACATTACTGCACGATACTGGTGTCTAGTGCTGAGAATAAGGTACTATGTGTGAGACTACGTCAAATTTGTTTTGCGCGCGATGTGACAGGAGCTCATACATATTCATATTATGATGTCGCAAGACCTGTATTTGGGGCTGGAACAATGACATCTCTGTTCACAGTTTTCCTTCTCAATTTGAGATGGCTGTAGCTATCGGCCTCAAACCAACGCAAGATTGACAGAAACATCGTACTCTATCTACCTTCGAATGTGCAGTTTGTAAAAATCTGTATTTAAAAAGATATGATCTTTTTTCTTTATATTTTCTAGTTGTTAAAAGTGACATTTCTGCACATCTGATATGTTAATCTCTATCAAAAGTTCTTTGATATTAAATTGATTCCATATTTTTAGGCTCTACCTTCAGCAAATGAGAAGGATTTTAGTGAGCTAACCTCTGCGCCCTCTAGATTCTCTTGTGTGCGCCTTATGTTCGTCTGCTACCACAATTATTGGATTCAAATACGTCAAAATCTGCAAGATCGTCAACAAATGCGATAGTACGGGGCTAAGCAAAGTACGGGGTTAAGCAAAACCATTGTGAAAAGAGTATTTGAGTTTACAGCTTTTACTGTGAGGTCAGCTCTTAGTCTCTCACCTCTTCTACGGCATTTCTCACCATCAGCTTCCAGGTGTGGGGAGGAGGAATGGAGTTGGTATTGTGTGAGCTTGTCATCTAACCTCTTGATAGTAGGGTAGGATGGCATCTGGCACAAAGCATTCACAAAAAGTCTTCTTTCGAATTCATGAAGCAGCAGTAAGACTTTACTGAGGAGCCGGAGGAAAAGCTTGTCTACCTCGTCTGACACTGGGGGGACATTAGGGAGTTTTCGCAAACTCATTGCGGACAGAGATTCTGCGGTTCGTAACAGCGGGGTGACCGCTGAGGTACTGATATCAAGAACGGGTTTTGACCAAATCTATTTCAACCCCGCCCCATAGCAAAAAGCTAGATCCGCCCCCGCACGTTGAAATTTGTCATCCTTCGTTATAAAACAACGATATTCCTAAAACCATCTTTGGTACAATCTCGCTGATTGGCTGTTTATTCACTTGGGACGTCATTGAAAACGCCCATAGATTTGGCCAAAACCATTATAGATTTCAGTACCTCAGCGTTCACCCCGCTGTTACTATAGTACTTGGCTTCTCGATTTTGTACACAAACTGCAGATTCTACGTCCGCAATGAGCTTGCGAAATATCCCTAATGTTTGTCAAACTAGCAACAATTATTGTATGCAGTTTGGATTCTGTCTATCGATTCTGAATGAAATAATTTGTATCGAGGCACTTCACAAAGACGCATGCATTGAATTTGGTTACATTACGAAAATTGCCTATTGGCATTACAAATGCAATACCTCTGTACTATACGTACCCGTTCATCGAAAAGCGAAACTGCGTATTGTAACGAGGGCGGTCTGTGTGCGACGGCCGTAACCCTTTGTGCTCTGCGTCGTAAAAGGTCTGTCTGTCGCTGAGCGAAAACTCGCTATTGGCGAGTAAGGAGACCGCCTCGTTGGCTGTGCTGCGTGGAAGACCAAGAAGAGATTTAAAGAGATTACCATGGATTCTGTTAAGATCAGAAAGCATCTTCTTGGTCAAGTGTAGTATTTCTGCTCCATAAAGCATTCTGGGTAAACAGTAGCGCTTCCAGAGTGCATATACTGTGCTTGAAGCGAGCCCATAGCGACGGGCACCAAATTCCTGTAAGGCCATAAAGGGTTTTCCTTTCTCGTGAGGCCATTGCTGGAGTGGGGTCGTACGGTGAAAAGGTACGCATGATGCCTATGTGTGGGTGTGTGTCTACTTGCTGGATGATGTCTGAGCCAAAATACCATGTTGCAATACCACCAAATTATTAAAAAAGTAATATTAGGAAAAATGCAATTGTTTAAATGTATTATGAATAAAGAAAGATTGAAAATGATACCAGGAAATAAGAGATGCAATATACTTCCAAATTTGTGTAGATTATACCATAGAATTACTTGTAAAATATAATTATGAGTATCTCATTACATGACTGGTGAATCAGTTTTGTACTTGAGATGGGTACCCCCCGGATATTTTCATTTGATAGTTTATAAAAATACACCAATATATTATTCTTAGAAAAATACGATGTAATGAAATTTTTGTCCAATGTTTTAGGCATCAGCACATTATTAAAATTACAAAACTTCAACATTCCAAAGATTAAAACATATGTTTAAACTATTCAGTTTACAAATTGGAGATAGAATTTACCTTAAAATTAATGTAGGTCTGAAAACTAGAGAATACACTTCTAACTATGGCTTGCCTACCATGGCAAATTACCCGTCCCTTTGAGGATTTTTACAATGTGGAAATAAACGTGTCGTGTATAATCAGTTAAGTTATGTGGGAAAAGCCTTAGATATACATGTAAACAAGACATATTTTCAAAAGGTTATAAAAGAAACCCCACCATAACTCCCTGTTTAACACTATTTTAACTGGGCTATCTTAGACCAGGTTATTCCTTATGTTATTTCTTGTTGTGTTAATTTCCTATGTATTTCATTATCATTTTAACCTTTGTGTTTTATTGTTTTAGTTGTTTTATTTTATTTCTGATTACAATTAAACTATTTTGACCCCAAAACAAACACTTAAACTTTAAACAAGACCAAATAACCAATTTCTCTTTTTAGAAAAAATTATATTTCCATATGTTTCGTACACAAATCACAAAAATGAGCGATTTTCATGCTGACATTCAAAGACAAAAGGTCACTTGACTTTGTAACTTTACGTCCGATTTTCAAAAAAATTGTTTTATAAGATGTGTAAGACTCGAAAGAAAAAAGTTATGAAAGGAAAACTTTATATCTGCCACGGTTTCAGAGTAGTCGTGAAATTACTACAGGGAGGGTCAAATTGACTCCCCCCCCCCCCCTTTACTTTTCATAGATGAGTTTGAAAATAATTAGCAATTTTCCTGGTGTAAACATTTTTTTGACTCACACTGTATATAAACTTACAAAACAAACAAGTTTTACATTCATATGTATTACCGTTACAAGTTTTAACAAAAATTCTTGCCAAAGAATGGAACTAGGCTCGACTAGCAATTGCGCTAACTTCTAGTTCCCATTAACAACTTCACCTAAATATTAGTAATATAATACACATATTTACATGTAAATCTTTTGTACATTTAATAGTATGCAGAGCTATTTCTAAATATCATTTTAAAACCATTACTGTTCAATCAACATTACTCTTATGTTATGTATACATGTATCACTATTATTCTTTGCATTGTATGTTTGTTCATAATAAACTACTGTCATTATTGTGATGTATTGTTGTTCATAAATTCAAATTCAATTATCTTATCTTTTTGGAGTATTTTTCCTAAGAACAAAGACATTAGTATACATGCACTTGCTCGCAGGTTTTACAGGAAACATCTCCACAATACAAGTGCATACCGACGATGAGGTGCGGGTGCGCGGTTGCATGAATTTAATGAGGATCTGAGATTTCATGACCATAATTTAAAAGATTATTATTATTATTATTGTTGT